CCCCCCCCCCCCCCCCCCACTTTTCAATATGCTCCGCGGTCCCTGAGCTATTAATATGTCTGAACGAACACAACACTGAATTTGATTGACTTTATAAAAGTGGTTCTGGTTAGCTTATATATCCGCACTGTAATGATGAATAATAAAAATATCACAGTAACAACTAATGATGAAAAATCTGGTTTTGTTTTAAGCGTACGAGAAAGTAACATAGTAGCACACTGAATTCCAATTGGAAGTCACAAGTTGATTTTTGCGGACGGAGGAAAATCGGAGAAAAACCCTCRAAGCACAGGCAGTAGAGAACCAACGAACAACCAACCGAGTCCGGACATAAAACCCGGATCGCTATGTCACGGTATAACTTGTTTTTACGGGTATGTGCTGCTGCAAAAGGTATACCTACCTTAAGAGAAGAAGTGGAGAGGAGGGGTTACTGTTATAACTCATGTCACGGTGTGTACGTAGGGGTATGTGCTGCTGGATAGGGTATGATACCTATCCTGAGGGAAGGGAGTGGAGGGGTGCTTCTGGATGGGGTATGAGTGAATTTTATTAAAATCCAAGGTAAGAATATTGGGCTAAAAGCATGTGCTGACTGCAGAAATTGTCTCGGGGTTCGGTGGCACGGAATTGGTGCCGAGCACGGGATCCGGCAKAGCGTGGCAAGCTTAGCATATAAAACAAATCATGGACATAAGACTAATGAGAAATTCATTAATCATAGCTTTATTTGTATTTTATTATTCCCGTGGATGTTGGACCGGACTGACGTTTTTATCATATTGGGATCCCTGTGGTGGAAACGACTGCGGCCTCATTTGTCCGGACAGTTCGACACTCATGTCGCTAGGTCGCGGGGCAAAACGTTTTTGACTCGGACTTTTCAATATTTTCCGTTTAAGGAACGGGCTAAAAAACAGGTTCGTACTCAAAGCCATTCAAAAACCTCATTAATTAATGGGGATCAAAATCAAAGAATCCAAGAAATTCATGCAACCTGGAATCCCATACAATCCGGATTGGAGGTAAGAAATTTGTACAAAATATTAGAATCGATGCCCATTTGGTTAGGAAACCTGAGGATCCTAAGGTTTACGAAATCGAATTAAAATATTTGAATTTCGGAACTAAAATGTGTAGAATCTGGCATTTTTTAAATCGGGATTTTTCCGGAACTAGGGAGATTCTGTTGAACTGSGAATTAAGTGATGGAATGTGGAGGTCATGAAATTCGGATTCTGAAATTCACTAAATTTGGACCGGTCTTGAGACCTGGAATTCAAACTGTGGATTGAGGGATCAAACAGACTTCCCCCGAACGAACTCCTACTGACTACACCAGACTGTGGTATGGTCATGGTTCTATATCTTAAGAGACTGGTCAT